GTAGCAAGAATTAAGACTGTTTTTAACCACCAAAATCCTAAAGTTATTTGTCTCTATGTTGTCATGTGTACAGAGAAATAGTTAAGATGTAGAAGATAAGGGGGTTTTCTGAAAGTTTATTCTGGTATTTTCATTCTTGTAGTTTGTAAATAAACTGTCTTTATTCCTTTTAAGTCTTAAGCCTGTTTTGCTCTTGTTTTAATCCATATCTCACAACAAAAAATAAGTAGTTTTTTAGTTACTGGTTTAAACCCATGACACTGGGGTTTTTACTTTTACTGAAAAAAAGCCCCACCTGGACTCTTAGTGGAATTTGCTGGAAAAAAATAAAAGTAATTTTAAAGCTTATTCATTTCCTTTCTTCCTGTTTGTTTTCTTTGCTTTTTTTCTGTTTGTTTTGCAGACATATTACTAATGCTACATTGGCCATTTTGAAAGGAGAGACAGTTCCACTTGATGTGTTGCAGATCAAGGTGAAAGCATCTACTTATTTGGAGCCAAACATTCCTAAAACTTTCCTATTCTCATGTTTTTATGGTTACATGGACTGGTTTTCCTTTTTGCATTGCTGTTACAAATTTTGGTTTATGATATCAGCAGTTCTGCTGGCAGTGATTTCTCCACCATGTGGTGTGGCATCAGACAGTCTAAACAGGAGAAAACACTAGAATGCCTCAACATCACCTTTCTTTGAGACTCGGAGAGTATTGATGAATACAAAACTTACTACAGTGATATTTCTGTAGCAGTGGTGAGAGATAGCAGTAGCTACTGATTTGATGCACTCGTGTATTGTGAAGTTAATAGCTTTCTTTGACAAACTGAAAAATACAAAATGGGAAAACCTTTGACTATACCTCTTACGGTTTCTGAATTTTATTTTTCTGTTCAGTTGTAGAATGGACATTTCTGCAGCGAGTGTTGTGTCGATGTGCAGAGCTCCTTGCTATTGGCTAACAGTCAAATCCACAAAATGAAATGGCCATTGCTGGGTGTGCAGTCAAACTCAGGCTATCTGTTCCAAACTTCACCTCTTATATTCCTTCCTGGAGCAGATGGAATGTACAGTGCTCAGATTCTGCTAAGCTATATTGTTGCTAGCTCTTTTTCATACCTCTTCTGTTAAATTTCTGTATAGAAATTTAACATAAGTTTTTATGTAGAGATGCTATTTTTGTAACTCCAGAAAATAAAGCTGGAAACAAGGTAAGATAGAACAATTTTGTAACATCTATTTTTCTTTACAGGGAGAAAAGGAGCAGCCTGTGTTTGCAGTCTCTGGTTTAAGATGGGGATCTTACAGAGATGCAGGAGTTAAAGTTAGCAAGTAAGAAAATGCTGTTTTTTGAAACTGTACCATTTTTAGCATCTGTTGCCTAAAAAGACACACCCCCCTCTCTCAAGTAAGTCTTTTTTTTTGAGTGTAGGCATCTGACAGGCAGAGGCACCCACTCTTGCTATGTCTTGTATTACACACAGGAGTGTAAGATGTATCAGAATTCTTGTAATTTGAAATAAAAACTTACTCAGTGCTGACCTGTTCTTTTAAGTATTTAAAAAAATACTTTGTGGTATGCTTTGTGGTATCTGCTTCTGGAACTTTACTGAAGGGAAAGTAACAGGGTGCCCCTGTTTCAATCTGAATAAAGTCTAAGTAAAGTAATTGGCCATTGTTTTTCATCATCTGCCAATGAAAAGCTGCATGTGTACTCTGAAACTCTATTCCAACGAGGGACAAGATGCAGTATAAATTCCCTTCAGGTTCCTGCCAGAAATGGCATGGACTGTGCTATCTGATGACTGTTCTCTGAATGCTAAACTCATAATTATTGGGCTTTCTCCAAATGGACATTTAACATGTCACTGTCTGTGTATCAAATGACAGGCATTATGTGCTGAAGGAGCAGCAGAGCCAAAGCAGCTCACTCCCCAAACTATTACGGAGGAAATGCAGCTGTAAGGAAATACTGTGCGCTCTGTGAATGAGCTGTCGTTGTCAGGAAGGAAGAAGTAGCAGACCAATGGAGTCTGTCTGGCAAATGTTTGAGTAGGTTTGAGAGATGATGTGGGATGGGGGAGATGCAGTAAATGGTCAGGTTGTTTGTCCCTGGGAAGCCAGGGACGTTCTTAGTAGGCTGTGTAGGTGCTGACTTGGCTGTGCTGCAGGCTCTCCTGCTAATTGCAGCCCCCAGTTCAAGGAAGTGCATTTCTCCCTGTTCAGCACTCCTACTGGCCTTCCTGCCCATGCCCTGGTTTTCTTCTGGTGTCAGCCTTCACATCTTTCCCTGCAGCACTTCCCTTTTGTAAGAGTCCTTTGGGCTCAGTGCTGAAGGCATGACAACACCTTTGGTACGTGAAGAACATGAACATCCTCAAGCCTTGCCTCCTTCCATAAATGTTTTTGAATGCAGAGAAGCATGTCCAGCTTGGAAAGCACTTCAGCAACAAATAAACAGGCCCTCAGAGTCTGCTTGGAACAAAATCCTCGTGTGCTTGTCCTCTTTTTATACTTTCCACTTCATCCACTTCTGCTCCCTGTGAGAGATGGGTTATTGGACTAAAAACATTTGGTGTGTTCCAGTGCTGCTGATCTTAAACTGAAAAGAAGTCAAAGGGAGTTAAGCCATAAGACACAGTTCCAGAAGTATGTCTGACTATCCCTCTGCTAAGGACTGTGCTGCTGGAGACCTGGTGCTCTTTTATGTTACTATTTTGCAGACAGTTTAATGGTTTGAGGGCATTTAATGTGGTGGCACAGTTGCATGCCTTAATGGTTATTGAGATCCTTAGATCTGCAGTACTCTTGAGCTGGTGGTGTTTAATACGCTTTGTTGACCCTCTTTGGAGAAAGATGGTGATCAAAATGTGTGCCAAGCCTGCCTAAATACAGTCACATCTTTAGATTCTATACAGTGCTGTGTGGCTGGCAGGATTTCTATTTTGTAAAACCCTGATTTTAATGCGAGAATCCTTTGGGACTAATGAGTGTTTGCTGGTTCTTTTGTCACTGAAGCTTTTGTTTTTCTGTTTGTTTTCTCTGACCTTTGGAAATACGCTGTATTACATATTGTGGAGATGCACACCACCAGCTGTTAGACAACAGCCCTTTAAATCATCCCCAGTTGTCTCACAGAACGAAGTAAAATTCTGATAGTGCTATGTTCTGCTGCCCATAGTGAAGATTATACACTGCAGTTTGGTGATGTGTAGCTCAGGATAGGGATGTCACTGCTAGGCTGCTGATGTGTAGAAAGTATCTCACAGTATCAAAAAGCTAAAGGTTGTCAGGGAGCACTAACTTAGTGGCAAGCAAGTCTGTGTGCTCTGACTTCATGCAAGATTTCTCCCTTTCCCAGTATTGACCCCTGGATATCTTAGAAGTTCTATTTCTGTTCTTTTTTCAGGTACTGGTACCTTGGACCTCTGAAAACCAAAGCAGCTCATTTTTTCAGTACATTTAAGGTAGACATTAATTGTGAGGATATTTTTGGAAATTGTGAGGGAGTATGTTTGGTTGGGAACAGGCTGACTTTGCTTTGTATAATCAATCCTCAAGCTTTTGTGAAGGGTTCTGGTAACAACATGAAATGGGACTAAAACTCAACTTGTTAAAAAGCCTACCAATTGATAGACTTACTTTTGAAGAAAGGAAGGGGAAAAGAAATACTTTTTTAAAAAAAATTTACATTTTTTTGCTGCAAGATCACCAGGGGAAGCCAATAACCCCCTGTGAAACTGGTGAGCAGCAATGGTGAAGTGCTAAAATGCTCAGCCACCTTTTCTCAACAGTCTTTGTAATAACATTTTACTCTGATTTATTCATCTAGCAGAAGGATCTATAATTAGACTTCTCTTGCACATTGATTATCAGGCTTCCTTGTGTAGTAAAACGAACATGAAGATGAATAGCTTTTATCTCACCTTAAACTTTTCTGTTACTTAAAACTGATCCTGGAAAGATTAAAATTTGACCTGCATGAAAGGTAAGGCATTTTCATTCACGTGGTTTTCCTGTTCTCTGAGCATATAAGGAACCTCATGAAAGGCAGTGAAAATACCCAGGAGCTGGTACAGTAGATGAAATAGTGCAGTCTAGCCATGCTGGCTGTGAGAGTGAAAATGCTTCCTTTATAGGAAACTCCTGTAAAGGGGAACTTAAAAGATATGTATACAGGAAAGTTGGAGTGGGTTTCCCCCTCCCCCCACCAATCCCCAGAAAATTTGAGGTTATGCTTCTGTGTGCTGGCATTCTAGGTAGAAAACTGTTCTTAATTTCTGTCCACCTCCTTTCTCAATTCCTTTGAGTCCTTAGACTGAACTGGGGGTGGTGATAGTGGACTTCTCTGGTGAGCTATTAATTGTACATTAAAAAGATCTGTTTAACCTGCTGAAGGTTAAAGAGAAGTGCCCACTTCTTTAGCCATTTAGATAGACAACTTTCTAGCTGATCTCCCCTCATTGTGGTATTCATTGCTTTATGTGCCTCTTATGTTAGCATTTTGTTAATTTCTACAAGAAGTGGCTCCAGGCCGTTGAGTTTAATCTCTTCCTGGCTTGTGGTTGCTGCTCCACATTTCATATTTTCTGTTTTTACTGTGGGTGTCTCTTGAAAAAGGATGATCTGTAGGTGAAAAAAAGTGTAACGGGAAACATCACCTCTGATATTGGTAGGGGCATTGTTATGAGTATTATCATCTCTTCTAAAATACACAATAAATTATATTTAATAATTATGTATATAGAAAATATACAAAATATTATCACAGGTGCTTTTCCATTTAATCATTAATATTTATTGTTTGTGTACTGCCCTACTGATACAACCTCTGTCCTGCTTATTATGTGAGTATAAGAATGGAGTCTTTCCTTGCTCTCAGAGGTGTGAGGTGAATTAATTTAACAACCTATGCTATATGATTGATCCGAAACGACTTCTGAAGTTTTGTACATTGAAAAATAATTGTATTGAGTTAATGTGGGCTCTTGGCTGTGTTGTTTTAGTATATAGATTTAAAAAACAATTCAGTTATTCTTTCCCTAAGTCCTGTGCTTGGAGCATTTCGGAAATTATTTTCAAAACAATTACAGGAAATAAACTTTGTCAGCAGAGATTATTTCAAAAGCTAAGGTTCTTCTGTAGCCCTGGTACTGGAATCTGAAATATCACCAAGAGTAATGTGTTAATACTTTTTATTTTTCTTTTTTTAAGCTGCTTTATAGAGCTCACATGACTTGCCTTAAGAGCTGTTGTGTTACTGTTTAGAAGCACCTGCCTATCAGGTCAGATCTGGATTGTTTGAGTTGCTGGAGAACAAAGGCCTGTCAGGTTTTAGTGCCCCTTGGCTGCACACAGCACTGTAGTCTTTGTTTGCACTGGATCCCACTGAGCAGTTGCTCTTTGAGGTTGCCTTTGTGCCATGCAGAAACCAACTGTGCTTTCAGACATCACTGTTGACCTGTCTGGTTTGGGTTGTTCCCTCCAGCCAGAAGCAGCTGGGTCACCCTGCCACACATCAGCAGCAAAGGAAACATCCCCATCACCCCCTGTTCATGGAGGGGAAAACACCCTCACTTCTGTGCAGGGAAGGATTAGATTAGTGGATTTGGAAACTGTGGGTAATCTTTTTGAAACTGCAGAAATGTCATCTCACCAATGAACCTGGAGACTGGAGAGCCATAAAGGCAGTGGGGGGGTCTGAGTAGGTCTGCAGGACTAGGTGTGAGTACACAATAGATGGGCTACAGGACTAAACAGAATAAACAGGTAATGCCCTAAACAAAATGCCCTTTTATCTTCTTTCGTTTCTTTCCATGAAAATACAAGGAGTGGCCTCAGAAGCATCAAGCTGCTCTCATATACCTGGGTCCAACTGAGAGACCTCCAGAAGAGCCAGAGAAGGAGTCATCCAGACTTCCTTTTCATGTGAGGCTTTACAGACGGCTTCTTTCGTTCTGGTCACGTCCAAAAGGTGGGCTGGGTGTGTTCTGGCATAAACTCACATGCACTGTCAAAAATGGAACAGAGTCATCCTGCCAGGGTTTGTGGTCTCATAAACAAATACTCATTTGTAAAGAGCCCAGGGCATTCCCTGGACTCACAGTTGCCATTGCAATGGAGGCATCCATAGAGGATACTTGGCACTTCTGGGTGAGCTTCTTGAAATCTTCTTCCAGCAGAATGGCTTCTTAGTGGGCTGGAAGGAGAGGAGCAGCCCTTGTTTTCCAGGGTGGGGAGAGTTCCTGACACAGAGCAACAAATGTTACTCTAAATAGAACAGTAAAATTTGGGCCATGCAGAGGCCCTAAATTTCTCTTATTATGTTAAATTCTTCCTGTACCATAAACTTTGTGTTCTCTGAGCCTCTCTTGGTTTGGCCTGGGTTCTGGGCATTGCACATGGCAGGCCACAGGAGGAAGGAGAGTGGGTATTTTGCACAGTCTGGTGCAAAGACCTCGTTCCTCCTTAGCTAGCAGAGATGATTCATGCAGGAGCATGAACCAAGTGACTTGGGGATAACAACTGAGCTGTGGAGCTGCCTCCTGTAGAAAATGTGTTACCACAGCCTCATGAACATTGGATTCCTGTTTTTTTGGCACTAGCATTTCATGGGTTTTCTAAATGTTCCTGTCACCAGCCCAGGAGATCTGTTAATCCCTGGACATAAGGACTCACAGGGCTGTGATGTTCTGTGCTTGTCTTTTATGCTGTGTATAAATGCTGATGGTATTTTTTCTTTTCTTCAGTACTCCCAAGCTCCCTTTTACTTTTTTAAGATTTTGACATTTTAGAGAAACAGAACTAGTGGCCAAAATGGCCCAGACTGATTTTTCTGTCTGGCATCTGCTTCGTAGGGATCTGTGTAATTAAATTCCACTTAATGATTGATACCTTCTTTCTCTGATATGCAGAAGTCTCCCAGGAGGTAGCCCCAGAGGACTGGGAAGAGGTGAAGCTGTCCACCATTGAGCTTTCCATTGCAACTCGGAACAGACAGCTTGATCTAACAGTAAGACCATAAAATAATTGGATTCCAGGTGCTGCGTGCCCACAGAGTTTTCCTGTCTTGCTAAACTCCCATTCTTGTGTCTATTTAAACAATGTTTACTACCTCATGCAAGAATAGGTCCATGACTGAATCCAGGAATGCACAAGTTTCAGAGCCATTGTAAAAGCACTGAAGACCAGTGTAAAACTGGGATGCAGTGGGATCACAAAGAATTGGTGCAAGGTTTCAATAGCCAAAGAGAAATTTTTAGGATTGCCCATGAGTAAACAAAGCACCAAGAAGCATTCCTTTCCCTCTTCACCTATGTGAGAATGATCCTCTTTTATCAGCCACTGCTAGAAGGAGGCTGAGCCTGAGTGTCTGGCTGGGACTTTTGATTTTTCTCTCGTTTTTTATACTTGCAGAGTGGAGTTAAAAATAATTGGTACCAGGGAAAGGACAGGGGCTGCATTGATTTAAAGGAAAGAAAGTACAGGTGGTTGAAAGAATAGAAGCAAGGCAGCAAAGGAACTGTTTCTGTCATAACCTTCTCAGCATGTTCATGCTATTCATTCACTGTTTTAGAGCCTGTCTTTGGCTTATGCCTGTGTTTTGGTGCAATTTTACTGCGGTGAAAGCTATTTGGATAGATGTCAGTCTCTAATTTTACAGGAAAATGCTAACACAATGATCCTATACTCGTGAGCTTCCCTTCATTTCCTCCTCAAGGCTGCAGGAAACCCTTGCCATTATACCCATCTTAACAGGAGGTGCTGAACTTACCGCAACATATTTCTTCCTTAGAATTTAGGGTCTTTAAGAACATGAAAATGTGAGTTATACTGATATGTTACCTTGTAGGATCAGACCAAAAGAAGCCCAAACAGGGCAATATATGTTCTCCTGGTTTCTCCTGAGAACATGCCGCATGAACTTTAGTTTCTTTTTCATTGTGGTTTATGATTTGGACTGTCAGTGTTCTAGTAATGGTAGAAGCTAGACAGAGACTAGTATTTGGGTATTTTTTTAGTGGTTTCAAGGTGGCACTTGAACACAAGAGTTTTAGTTGTTGAACTGAATTGGAGCCAGTGATGTAAAGTAAAAACAGTCCTGCCAAGAACAGAAACAGTATCTGATTGCTACAAACTAGCCCTTATACTCTTTCTGGTTTTTTTGTTTGTCTCCCTTAGGCCTTCAAGATGCACTTCAATATTGGTTTTGAAAAGAAGGAACTGATGTAGGGTTCTCAGGTCTGTTGCATAGTCTAGAAAAATGGACAAGTTCATGTTAGACCAGTTGTACTTTCTGTTTCTAGAGTTGGAATTATCTTGATGCTGCATCTCTTTTTCGACAAGTGTGTGGATCCCTTATCATTGCGTTAAGGTCCCTAAAGTTGAAACCACTGTCCCTGTATGCCTCAAAGCTGAACAGGTCTCTGGAATCAATGCCAGGCCATATCTGTTGACTGCTGCCAGCCACTCCTGTCTCTGTGTCTCACCTCAGATTCATGCAGAGGCTGCCCCATTGAAGAGAAGCTGATAAAGCCATACAGGTGCAGCTCAGGCAGTGCCTCTGCAGAACAGCAAAGAAATAAACCAAGTTACACTAATAGATGCATTTATTTTTACTTTTGTCATTTTGATTGCATCTGTACTAGGACTTTTGCCAGGACAGAAATGTTAAAATAAAGGAAAAAAAAAAAATTGCATCTTAATCAAGGTTGCTTTCCTGGAAAAAGCTGTACTGTATACTCATTTTAAGGGCAGGCTGTAAATAGGAAAGAGGCTAAATAAGGAGTTTCAAGGATTGTTTTCAAGGACACTTTGATTTACAATTCATATTGTTTAAAATTCCCTTACTGTGGTGTTTGGTGGCCAAATGTTGTATCATTTTACAATTGCATAAATTCATGAAAGACCCATTGAATAGAAATTAAAAAAGTGAACCTAAGAGATTTGCTATTGTCTTTAAATGTAACAAGAAGCCAAACCTGTGACTCATTATTTTGTTTCTTGTGGTATTTATTGAATATTCATTAATGGGAAAATACTGTCTGTAATTTCTAATTCAAAACTCAAGTTACCATTTGAATGAAGCATGAAATGCAGAAATATATCTTCTGCCTCCTTTTGCGGGACAAAGGACTGGCCATTGTGTGAACATATTGCAGTATCATGGGTGTGGCATTTTCAAATGTTAACTGCTTGATTTCTGAATCCTTTTTTGCACAGCGCACTGAGGACTTCATGGACATTTGCATCGAAGCAGAGAGTGTCAGCAAAGGGCAGTTTGTTCACAGAGGGTGAGTATGGAAAGGCTGCAGAAAGGGGACAGGATCTCTGAAAAGTGGGCTGGTTTTCTCTCATGCTGTGCTGCAAAATTCAGAAGCAGAGGACTGCAAAGCACACCAGTCAGTACTGTTTCACAGGGACTAACACTTTGGTTCTTTAAAATTCTTACTCATCTTCTGTTTCTGTAAACAAGGCAGAACTCCAGAACCTGGAGTGTTGGTATTCAGAACCTGGAGTTCTTCCTAGATTCTGAGTTTGCTAAATCTTTTGTCTGTTCCCGCTATTGCTGTAAGTCACTACTGCTTGGATATTCCTGAGTTTTATAGGCAACTATGCAGACTTAGCCCAGAATCTCTTAGCCCTAGCTGCTCCATGGATTGAGAGGTGGGTCACAGAGCTGGTATGTTTGTGCTACTGGTACCTGGGAATTCTTGAACTGTGATGAGACAGGCCCTCTTTGAAAAAAAAGAGCTTCCTTGCCTCAGTAGTTCTTGTGAGAAATTAAGTCTGAGCTGGAAGAACTTTGGAAGATGTGAATTTAAACACGGACTTTAAGCAAATGTCCTGCTTGTAGAATAAGAAGGCTGCAGGTATGAAGAAGCAGCATGTGGAGAAAGTGTTACTGCTTCATTTGTGCTTGAGATGTTGTCTTGTGGTGTGCTTATTCCTCATGTTTTCACAAGAGACAAAACAGAACTTTTCCAGCTCCTTCTTACAGTCCCACTCACAGATACGTTGCATGTTCAGTGCAGGTTTTACCAGCAACAGATTTTCCTGCGAAATCCAAGGGAGCTCCTCTCCATATTACCTTTTTACTTCCTGTTTTCTCAGTCTTCGAGCTCCCTCTAGTGAAATCAATGGGTGGATTTCAGTGCAGTTTTACCTGCTTCTCATCACCCTAATAGTTCCTGCAAGATATTGTTTATGATACTAATGGTAACTCAGGCCATCCCAGGAGCCTCAGTGGGAACAGAATCTTCTGACCTATGCATACACTGTAAGTCAGGTTACCACCTGCATCTGCTTTTAAATTGCATGATCATGTGGACTGTGGTTGATTGGGACTGGGTTGATTTGTTTGCTTTGAATGCTACAGAGGGAAAGGAGGAGGCAGTTTTCCTTTTAGAAGCAAGAAGAATCTGGTCTCATAAAGGAGATGCTATTCTGGGTTCTCAAACACTTTGCTAGCAGAAAAATGTAGATGAGCTTGTGTGACTTGAGGGAGGCATATTCAAGTGTATTCCCATTGTAAATAATACCTCCTGTGCTGACTGGACCTCCTTCCTGCAGTAGTGTGGCACATTTTCTGACTGCACTTACAGTGTTGTGCAGAAAAAGCCTCTGAGGAGCATTACCATTGCCCTACTGTTGAGAGCTAATTAGAGGCAGTACTGAAAGCTTTGAGCTGTTCAAGCAAAGTTCAGAGAAACAAGTTCTTTTGATTAAATACTGCCAAAAAAGCCTGCAGGTAACAAAGAAAGACAAAGAGGAGTGTGGGGGGGTGGGGGAGCAGTGGGAGGGGATGGTTAGTTGTACATAGGGGAGTACCAGCAGAAAAATGGTGCACTGTTTTTTCAAGGCAGAATCAGGGTGTTCAGAGGTCCCACTGTGCCTTTGCCAACTGGATTTGAGTTAAGCCCATTATCAGAGGCCCCCCATTGTCTAGCACCAACAGGGTTTGTCTTTGGAAATGTGTGAAACAGCTCTTTCTTTTTTCTTCTTTTTGAGTACATAGTTTAAATACCAGAATTTGGGGGGTTGAAAAAAGTTTTTAGGGGAAATACCTTATTGGTGCAGATATCAAGGGGTTTTTATATTGGAGAGGGCCCTGATATGAGCTGACTGATGAGAACTGATGGGTCACACAGAGAAAACCACACATCCAGCAGGAAACTACCATGGAGGCTCAGGGAGTGTGTGTGTGTGTGTCTGAGGAGGTGTGGGGGTGCTCATTGTGCTGGAGGGCAGCTGCTGCTGGATTTCACAGAAAGGAGGAGGTCATCCCAGGTGTATAAAAGTGCCCTCTGGCTGTGGATCAGATTTGTGCGAACAAGAGCATCCACAGCAGCCACAGAGCTGATGTTTAGACAAGGTGGGGAAAGAAGAGTTGTTTACAATGCTTACTAAGAAGTGCTGCAGGGAAGGAGAGCAGTCATGGAAAGTGTGGCATTAGTTATTCACCTCCTGGTAGCCAGTTTAGATTCTGTATGTAAAACTATGGAGAACTCCAGGGAAAAAGTACAGTTATCATTTACAATGCAGAAAACTGGGTTTTTGTTAGAGATCTTACTCTGAATTGTTTCACATTGGCAGCTTCTGGATATGAAAATGAGGGTCCAGTTGTGTGTTACATGCAGTAAGTGTTGTGGTTCTCTCTCTGCCTGTATTTTTGTGGTTCAGCATAGAGTAGGTTGCAACAGTCAATGGAAGCTTGCTGTTAGACTTCTGGTCTTGTTCCTATTTCACATTGCTGTCTGGTCTAGAGTGAGGAACAGAATCTAAGGGAAATGAATTACGATTTTTTTTTATGCTGGACCACTAGAGGAGCAATTTCTACAAGTGCAGTTGTGTCTTATTTGCTTCTACCAGTATTCTACTTTGATTGATCTTTAATTCTATGTCTTGGCTCTTTTGAGCTTACCTTGACCCGACAATGAAGGCATATGTGCCTTCATTGACCAAAAATATCTGCTCTCTCACCAGAGTATGCCTTGTATGTATTTAGTATCTAGGACCTTGTATGATAAATTCCAAGCAGGTTAAAATTTAAGTGGGGAATGTTGCTGCTTGTTTGTACAGCACTGTATAAACTGACTGTATTGCATACCATCAAAGATTTATAATTTATATTGCTGGAGGATGTTTCATTCCCTCACAGTCACTCATCAATCTTTCAGTGTATACATATTTGATTAAAACCAAACTTTCCACAGTTAATATTGCTTCTGTCCTTCCCTGCCCTTTCCTTAGCTTTTCTTGATTTGTCTTTGATTTTCATCTCCTGTTTCAACCCTCTCTTCTCATATTCTTTCTCTGGGATTTTCTGTGACTTTAGAGTTGCTGCTTTCCTTAGGGCATAGAAGACTTGGTGTACAGGGAGATTCTGGCATGCTTTTGTATGTTCTTTTCCTAGGCAATATTTAAATATACCCTTCTTTCATATCACTCTAGAGATGGAAATTTGGGGACAGCTGGCATTGCCTGTTAGAGAAATATCTGTGATAATTGTGCTATGCTTGAGAGTTGTGATGTATTAACACTGTAATTCTGTGCAGTTCTCTTTGCTATTTGTGTGTTGCTGTCTGTCAGGAGAGGAGCCCAAACAGAAAGGCTGCTGCCTGGGGTGCAGTGTACCCTTTGCTTGTGGTCAGTCAGAAGGTCATGTGTGTGCTCAGTCAGGAGGCCAGAGGAAGGTCAGCACAGCCCAGAGCTTGTGCTCACCCTGCAGCAGCACTTGTGGGGAATCACAACTCACTGTTCTCTAACAGCTGAGCCAGTGACAGGACAGCAGCCTAAGCCTTGGAAAAGACCACGTGCAGCACCAGCTTTCCAAGACAGGAAACTGCATTCCATGTGCTCCCTTTTGACATCACCAGAAGTAGGAAGGAAAGCAGCACTTATCTGAGTAGAGTACATAAATAAGAATCTCACAGGCCCAAGAAGAGAGAAGCTGTCAAAACTGGATATGTTATTTGGAATGGATGAAATGATGGGGGGTTTTATCATGAGTGATAACACAAGCAGCTGATCAGAAATGTCATGCTGATTGGTGTTGATATGAAAAACGTGGGGTATTTTTTTGTTTTTAGATAGTAATTTAATGGTTCACAGTAACTATAATTCTGTCTTTTTTGGTTTAGGTTGTTTAGGTTGCTGGGAAATTTAGGTGCATGAGATATCAGGAGATGGTAGTCACTGCAGGAAGTGCACAGTTCAGCATGGAAGTGAAGAGCACAAAACTGCTCAATGTTCAAATACATTCAGTGAGCCTCAGAGCAGAAGCTGGTTGGAGGCTGTCAGTGCATTCTGATATGCATTGACTGCAGCAGAAGAGGGAAGGACTCTTGTAGTTTTTCACAGTTAAACCCACAAATACATATCTATATCTATATCTCCTCTAAGTTTACCAAATGCATAGTGATTTACCACAACAAGATGTCATCCCTGAAGAAGGCTGTTTCTGAAGGAAGCATGTCCTTACCTTACCTCTCTTTTGGTTTGGACAGAAGTCAAAAGATGCGTGATCCACACATGTGCCCTGAAGGGAGTCAGCACATCCAAGCCAGCAGATGCATCTTAAAACTTCCAGAGGTGAGAAGCTGAGAGAGCTGAAAAACTCTTTCACTTTGTTTCTTGTACCTGTTGATGCTGCACTTCAAGAAATTCCTACTCTAAATCTGGGAGATTGATTACAGTGCAAGTGAGACACTCAGTTCCATAGCGCAGCCAATGAGTCCCTTGCCAGGACAGATACACTGCAGCTCCCCAGGTGGTCTGTAAACCTGAAGGGGGAGCTTTGTTCTGGTGGGAAATAATGGCAGATCTTTTATGAAGACAGTCATGGTGGTTAAAGGGTCTCTTACTTGAGTGCATTGCATACAAACGGGGAGTTCCACTTGAACCTGAGGAAAAATTACTGTGCAGATAACCAGGCACTGGAACAGACTGCACAGAGAGGTTATGGAGTCTCCCTCACTGGAGATACGAATCATCTGGACACAATCCTGTGCAATGTGCTTTGGGATGACCCTGCTTGAACAGGGAGGCTGGACCAGATGATCCACTGTTGATTCCAACAGACCCATGCTGTGATACATGGATCTTCTCCTTAGCATTGAATATGTGTACATTTTGCCCTAGAAGGCATTGTGCTGTAGAGAAGAAGATAAATATTAGAGACAAAAGAGGGTAAGACAGGGCAGAGGAGCTGAGATTGGTACAAGGAAATGCCTCAAAACTTTGAAATGATGAAACTGAGAAAAAAGACAAAGCTGTGTCTGACTGCGTAATTTAGATGTGTCTTTTTCTGCCTCTGAGCTGTTATTGCAGCCCTGGGAGGACAGTTTCTTGTTTTTACAAGGACATGGAATCAATCTTATAGATAATTTCTGTCTTCAAGTGATTGTCATTTGGCAAAATAATTCCATATTAAGGAAGAAGGAATGTGTTGAAAGGCAAAAAAATCTGTTGCTACCAAGTGAAAATCATGAATTATGATGTCATGATTAACCAGCATCCTAATACTTCCACTGAATTCAGATCATGGCAGATTTGTGATTCTGAAAGAATACTCTGCAGTGCTGGGCTAAGTACAGCTGGGCCATAAGTAAGGGTTGTGGTATAAAATCAGCTGTTCATACTGCAGCTGCTGCTAAGATCTTCAGAACATGGGTGCATGGTAGTGCACTGCATAGAGCAATGTTCAACTCCATGGCCCAGCTCCAGTGAAGGAACTGGAAGCAGCCCAGATGAGTCTCACCAGCTCATGTTGTTTGAGGTGGGTTGCTTTGCTGTACCTCTGACTGCCAGAACTTGTACCAGTTCCTCTAGTCTGTGCTGCTCTGGTGTCCCAGTTCCCTTGGAGTTGGCTTGAATACCCACGTAGCACAGCCTTCCCATGAGTCAAGGGCATGCAGAGCAGTCACTGAAGTTGTTTTTAGGTAACGTTAGCCTGCCATTTTGATGAATGCTTTTAATCACATGGTGACTTTATCAGCATTAAACACTTGAGAAAATTCTACTTCTGACTAATTCCTGGCCAGTAAATTACTTTGCATCTCATGTTTCAGATCAATATAGTAAAACAATGCTGAAAGGGGTTTGTAACATGGATTTAATGGAAGTTACTTAACAGGCATTTCTGCAGATTAGTTTATGTCACCACTGGCAGACCCAAGATCTAAGTGCACATAATTGTAGTTCCAATAGCAAAGAATCCTTCAGTGTAAACAATGTGGGTCATTAGACCTTCCTAGCGTTTAATTATCACTAATTAGTAACTAAGTGAGGTAACACCTTATGCACCAGATTCTTAATACATTCTGTGCTTTGAATGATAGGTCTCCCTGTATTGTGGAGAGGAAATGGGCTGGAAGGGAGAGGCAGGGGATCATCTTGGTTGAGAGTGTGCTAAGTATGCAACTGTATTGTATTAATAAAATCAGCATTACAGCCTTGCCAAAATAATGTTTGATGTTTAACTGTTATCTGCACACAGGGCACTGAGGGATCCTTTGGCATTGATAATGAGGAGTATGAAGCTATGCCTGTGGAGGTGAAGCTCTTGCCCCGCAAACTCCGGTTCTTCTGTGATCCCAGAATGAGACAGCAGATGCTGCAGGCAGCAGTACAATGAGAATTCATGGCAGAGGGGCCAGTGTTCACCAGTCTTACTAGGGTCTCTTCAGGGCACATGAGACCTAACTAACTTGATTAACCCCATGAGACTAACAAGCCTTTTGGCTGTTTTTATGTGCGAGGTACTTCCATCGGAAGTGTATTATTTAACTGGTCTCAAAGGGGTTAAAAATGCAAATGAAAATTCTGAAAAATGCGTGTTAACTTGATGGCATCGTTCTTTTCCCCCTCCCTTAAGAAGTCATCATTGTTCCATTTACAGCACTACAGGCTGAGTGCTGTGTGCCAGATGCTACTGCTGTAATGCAATTGTATATTAAAGTAAAATTTAAGTATACTTGTCCTTGTGTCCTGAGTTTAGGTTTACTTACCCATGTAAAAATCCTGCAAAACCTGAGATCCTGGGAAAAAAAAAATTGTGGGGGAGTAATGCTAAGAAATTCTATGAAATATTGGAATTGCCACATTGAAACAGATGGTTGGTTATCTACTCCATCACAAAATAAACTGGAGATTGGTGATACAAAGCTTTGGAGCAAGTTTAAAAATTTCCCATATGTATCTGGATAAGATATCTATGTTAATTTTTTTCATCTTGCCAGATTCAACAGCACAGGGTTCCAGTAATTATATAGTAGAAGTGTATTCCTTTGATCAATTTAGGTATATAGCACAGAAGCAAATTGGAAAACATCATTGACCCAAAGCTGTGTGAAGTACACTTGGAAAGACTCTCTAACAAGCTGAGTGAGTCTTTTTTTTGTAAGTATTCCTTTTATTCCTGCAGTAGTATAACGCCAATAAGGACATCCAAATAACGTTTATTATTTATTGTGTCTGATTGCTCTTCTCTAATGTAAACAGTGCTCAGCACTTCATATGCCACCTCCATCCCCTTGAGCCTCAGTGCCATAATTGGTTTTGTTGCTTTTATGAGCTTTTGTTTATAGCTTTGCTTTAATTGCTGAAAGGAAGTATTACTGACTTAGGCAAGCTTGTCTGTTGCCCTCATTCTGACTTGGAAATTCACATGATTCTGCCTTGCTTACTGGAAGAAAGAAAATGATCCTTATTTTTCTGATGGGATTGTCTGTAGTCAATGTGTTATGCTGTGGTCTAGTCTAAGTTCACTTGTTGATTCTCTGCTGTTATCAAAATACAGACACAAGTGAGTTGGCTTCCAGCATCTCTCAAGGACTGAATCCTGGCAGCCTGTGCTCCAACAGCATCCTCTGCTGGAGACATCTTAAAGGAAAAATGCCTCGAAAGGGGAAGCAAGGTTGCGTTTCTGCATGATGCTGAAACCAAACTGAATGTTCTTCTTCCCTGGACTACGCTTTGGAGAGACAAATTACCTAAACTATAGGTGATCTTTAAAGTCCCTTCCAGCCCTAGCTGTTCCATAACTCTTGACTGAGATCAAAGGGGGTAGAAGCCTGCTAGTTCCTTTTCATAGTTACGCTGGTGACAGGACCTGGTTTGTGCCATCTTTTGGTCTGCAGTAATGAGGAGTGCCCAGTGGGGCCCTGGGTCACTCTCCAAAGAGCATGGTGGTTGTGCTTTGCTCTTTTTGCTTGCCA